TATTTATCATCAGACAACTCAAGGCTGTATAACAAAATTAAAGTTTGCCATTCCTTTCATTAACAATAAATTCATAGAATGACAGAAATACATATATACACATTTACATCCAGGAAATAATTCTGCAGTGCATCTTTTGAATTTGTGTCTGGCGGAATGTAAACAACAGCAACAAGATAGTGATGATAATATGGTTTCATCTTCACATATTTTTTGGTATTGTCCATTCATCCCTATTGAAATCTTCCCAAAAACAACTGGGCACTGTTGTTTTTGACAAATATTACTGAAACAGGAGTAAGTAGTGCATTTGTTGGGTACTATTTTCAGCTTTCGGATTATTACACGTGGTGGTTTAGGGAGTGTTTACAGCACTAAGATGGTGTATGTGTGACTCAAAATAAACTATAGTTTGATTGATTGATTGTAACATGTCACCCAGTGTAACATTGCAGCTGTTTTTGTACAATAAAGGGGCCATGTGGCTCAGAGAAATATGATAAATCCAGCTTTAAATACACGGACTGTATTTACTGGTAAAATTTGTTTATTGTTGGGTTTTCATTGGATTTGTTGACAGTAAGACAAGAAAAATATTGAATATTGCCAGGCTTATCCTTTTAATTTGACATCATGAGTTTGTAATGATGATAAATTCTTAGTTCCGCACAACACGACAACCAAGTGAGCTTTGAAGCAAAGTGCAGAATGCACAAATGTGATGGTGGCATGTGGTTGTTTTTCTTGACATTGTGTTTGAATCGTTGTGCTTGCTGTTTTATTGTGTAATTTTTTTCATGTTGTCGTATTTTAGTATGTTGTGATTTTGTATGGCTGCTACCTTGGCTAGGCCTCTCTTAAAAATAGAAACGAATTCCCTGTTTGACCTAAAGAGGATCGAAAGGTTGTCACATTAGAGTGGTGGAATGTTATGTGGACATGATCTCAGACAAACAACTGCATTAGCAACAGGTTAGGCATGTCATGTCTTTTACAATTCATAAATCTATAAATATGATATTACAAAATAACTATAAAACCACAGCCACATTAGCTGGCGTTAACTCACTGTGATGATATGTTTGAAATGAATGCCTTTTTAAATGATGTAATTCATACATGAAGTTCTGGCAAGTGTCTACTTTTACCCACAGCACTGCTCCACAGTTGGGAGCAGCTCTGTCAGTATCTGCACTGCACAGAATGCCTTTTGTCATATGTATGTGCCCATATATATTTATATATATATACACTGTATATATGTATATGTCTGTGCATGCGTGTGCGCCATGTCTGCATGAAGGCGTTAATAAGGTGCTGAAAATGCCATGGTGATCTGAAGCCAAAGAACACCACAAAACACATACTGTACACATGAAAAAAACACAAAAAACAGAAACATATAGGAGTACATAAGGAAAGGCAATCTTAGTCTTTTCTGGTTTTGATTAAAGTTAATATGAGTTGAAAATAAACAGTGAGGGACTGTAAACCAGATTTCCATAACCTCCAGGGGCTTTCCACCTCTGAATAGAGGGATAAAGGAATCCATAACTATAACATGGATCATGTTACTATAAACTTAAATAAGACCAGGACTTAAAGCCTGTTACAGACAGATCATCCAAACAGACCACCATGCTGCTGAGACTCACTGCACCTGAGAGTTTTTTTCCACTACTTTAAGATCTTGGAAAATTGCTCTTCATACTTGTCAACCCTAATATCTTGAACATTTTTACAAGCCTCTTTGTTTTGATTGCAGCAGTTAGGAGCGGGTCTAAACTGTTCAAGTGTTCTTATAAAAACAAAGCCCCTCCACTGGGGTCTGCTTTTAGCTTCAGTATAATGTTGCAAGTAGGTGAGAATTTCACCAGGTAATTGCCTATTTTAAATAAGCCCTTAAAGTTTTGGGCTCTTTCTCTTTAATACATGCCGCCACCTAGTGGAGGAAATCTTGAACTGCCATTGAGCAGTGAAATAACATGCAGCGCTGTCAACTACTGCAGGTTGAATATGAGTGTTGACAGACCAGCCAGCAGTGTGAATAAAAACACTGGAGTTGAATCCACTTGTTAGTACAATACAATACAGTTCAATACAAAGTGCTTTACATATACACACAAAAAGAGCAGCAATAAAAATAAGCAATGTATGAGGTTGACAGAATACAACAAAAAACACACCAGTACTTATTAATACTGAAAAAAATATTGATACTATTAAAAAGAGATTAAAAACATAATTTAAGGGGGGGAGATAATGACACATGGCAGTGTGTGCTGAAATTAAATACAATAATAAATAAATATATAAATGATTAAAATAGAAAATATCATAAGGATAGACAAGAAATATTGTGAAAATAGTTTGCATAGGTTGGCCATTCCAAGTACAGAGAAAACGCAGTCTCCTGTAGTCTTCAGCCTGGATTGAGAAGCTTCCATACGGGCCTTTCTCAAGATCTAAGGTTGTGTTCTGGCTCATAAAGAGTTAAAAGGTCGGAAACTGTTTTTGCGTGCTCCTAAAAAGTCAGGTCAGTATCAAAAAACCCTTTATATTAAATGAAAGATCCCCTAGGTCCTGTAAGAAATATTGAACTATCCATGTGGTCACCTGACTGAGGTAATTTCCCTTTATATCCCAGAGCATATTATAGCTTTGTGTTGCACTCTCAGTGCTGTCAAATATGTTGCAACAATTTACATATATATTAAGATACACATTGCAGACACTCATTTCCATACTCAGTTTGGCTCGAGTGATACTTCAATTCCTGCTCCACATTCATGTCAGACTTTATCATCATCTTTTTTCTTTTCTTTTTTTTACTTAAAGTCCCCCTCCACTAAAAAACATGTGTTTCCTCCTGTCCCTACAGTGTGCTGTTT